TGGTAAACAGGGAGCTGAGCCGGAAGGCGAAGCTTTCGATTTACCGGTCGATCTACGTTCCTACCCTCACCTGTGGTCAGCGGCTTCCTGACTGAAAGAATGAGACTGTGGATGCAAGCGGCCGAAATGAGCTTCCTCTGCAGGGTGTCTGGGCTCAGCCTTTGAGGAGCTCGGACGTTCGGGAGGAGCTCAAAGTAGAGCCGCTGCTGCTCCGAGTCAAAAGGAGCCAGCTGAGGTGGTTTGGGCTTCTATCTAGGATCCCTCCTGGGCTGCTCCCTTGGAGGAGGACCGGGAGGAGGCCCTGGGGCAGACCCAGGACACGCTGGAGAGATTATATCTCTTTGGCCTGGGAACACCTCAGTGGAGCTGGAGGAGGTGGCTGGGGAGAGGGAGGTGTGGGCCTCCCTGCTTAGACTCCTGCCCCCGCGACCTGACTCTGGGTAAGCAGCAGAAGATGGATGGATGGATGGGAGATTCGCATCATGAAGTGTCAGCTGACAAATCTACTGCAACTGTGTGATGCTATCGCGTCAACAAGGACCAAAGGCTTTAAGCACCTTGTTAGATTTACGCCATGAAGGATTAAAGCAGTTCTGAAGCAGAAGGTCCAATCCGATACTAGCAAGGTGTTTCTAATAAAGTAGCAAGTTAGTGTGTTGGTTTGTTAGTATTAGTTGTGTTGTTCAGTGTTGGCTCTTTGAAATGCCAGATAACTTGCTTAGGAACTTAGATCTGTTTTCATAAACGTTGGGCTAGATGGAGAATTTTTTTTCTGGGAGACCCAAAACTGCCCTTCTAGGTTGAGATTTAGTCTGCTGGTGTAGCTGTTGTCAGAGATGTAACCTCGCCATTATGTAATGATTTGGGTTGTGTATCTCCAGAGGATCATGGGAAACTGCTGAAATCTCTCTCTCTCTCTCTCTCTCTCTCACACACACACACACACACACACACACACACACACACACACACACACACACACACACACAATCACCCATTCGCACACACCATTCTCCTGCAGTTATGTCCAAGGTTTGACTAATAAAGGGCATGAAATCAAACCCAACTTGAATCACGCACTGCAGTTTTCACACATGCATCATATTAAATTGCATAGATTGGTTTGAATGCCTTGCATAACTTCACACTGGGTAGATCCTTTAAATTAAGATGCATTGGCTTAGACGGCATACATATTGTAAGCTGGTGTGGTCATTAGAGATATTTATGTGTGTAGAGTGTGGATATCAGTGGGACTGGGAGTATTTTGCAAGAACATCTGTAAGATATTATTTTAGCTCTTTTGTGTAATATTCCCTGATTCAATTGCGCTGCTGCCAAACTCTCCATGTTGTGCTTGTAAAATCTCACATTGAGCTGTTTGCGTAAGCAGGCAGAAAGCTCTAGAATGTGTCTCCCCAGTTTCTGGATTTATGGGGCTGGACTCTGCACTGGATATCTGTCTGCACAGGTCCTTGTATGTGGAGTGACAGGCTTTGACTGGGAGCAGAGGCCCGGGGAGGCCAGGGCTGCTGCTGGGCGGCTTGATTTGGCCAGTCACCTCCTTTAGCCCATGGCTGACGGGACACCAGGCTGGATTCTAACTTGTTGCCCCCTATTCAAGATTCAAGAAGTTTGTCATTCCACACGTTTGCACATTCTGTGGAGCGAAATTAAGTACTCAGGTCACGGATAAGTCACACTCATTTTTAAATATAAAGTTGAAAATTAAATATAAAGGTATAGAAGTATAAAGTATGGATTATAAATGAGCAGTATGTACAGTGTCCGATGCGCAGAAACAGACATGGATGCAACAAACAGATCCAGGTAATTTACTATATAATAGTAATAACTTAGTTACTGTGTTATAATGAGCATTGCACATATGGCCTTATTGCACATGTTAATTATCACTACGGTTGGTGGTGATAATTTAATTTAAATACTATGTAATACTATTCAGTCCTCTTTGACCCAAACACATGCAGACAAAGACTTTCGCAGTCTGAATGGCACTGGGACCAGGAGATGCGGTGGACTGGTAGGACTGGGTAACAAACACTGCCATCAGCAGCACTAAGGTGGCTGGCTCCTGGTGCTCTGTACGCAGATACCCATGTTAGCATCGCTCGTCCCTGTGTTGTGGCATTACTGCTTATCCTTCCCAGGCCTTTTCCTTCTGCAATTTTACACCATACTCTCTCACTCTCGTTGCTGGGAGTCAGCGTGTGAAGGACAGGCCTGCTGGCATTTTACACCCTGCTCGCTCACTCTTTGCTGGGTGTCAGCGTGTGAAGGACAGACCTGGTGGCATGTTACACCCCGCTCGTTCGCTTTCTTTGCTGGGTGTCAGCGTGTGAAGGACAGGCCTGCTGACATTGTACACCCTGCTCGCTCACTCTTTGCTGGGTGTCAGCGTGTGAAGGACAGACCTGGTGGCATTTTACACCTTATTCGCTCACTGTATTTGCTGGGTGTCAGCGTGTGAAGGATGGGCCTGCTGGCATTTTACACCTCACCCGCTCGCTCTCTTTGCTGGGTGTCAGCGTGTGAAGGATGGGCCTGCTGGCATTTTACACCTCACCCGCTCGCTCTCTTTGCTGGGTGTCAGCATGTGAAAGACAGGCCTGCTGGCATTTTACACCCCGCTCATTCGCTCTCTTTGCTGGGTGTCAGCATGTGAAAGACAGGCCTGCTGGCATTTTACACCCCGCTCATTCGCTCTCTTTGCTGGGTGTCAGCATGTGAAAGACA